GCCAAAAACTAGCACAACCTTATGTACGAGGCAAATATTACTCAAGTTTGTTTATAGATATACTAACTTGATTGTATGTTAAACGTGTTTATGTAACTACAACTCTGTGATATTGAAAGCTATTTGATAAAATTTGTGATCTTGAGGATTGCCCGTACTTTGACTAAATTGGAGCTACGTTATTGGATAAGATCGTTGCAACATTCAATTTTATGCTTATGCATATGCTATTTTCCTTTCTTTTAGTTTCTTTGGTACTCTCATTTTGCAGCACCAAGTGACTATGCAAAACAACCAAGGATCAATAATCACTTAATAAGGCTGGCAAGGGGACGGGGACGGGGACTGGGGGATGGGACGAAGGGGGACGGGACGGGACGGGGGACGGTTCTGGGGGGATTTTGGGGGGACCGGGATTGGGGGGACAAAAATAAGTCCCATCCCGTCCCACTATATATACGGGATGGGACGGGTTTTGGGGGGACGGGACGGGGGATTTTTTATTTTTTATATACTTATTTATTTGTATTGAAATTATATGTTATTGAATAACATTTTTAGTTTATTTGATTTTTTTTCAATAACATTTTTAGCTAATAAATAATGCTTAAGTTTTCAAATTTCAAAATTCAAATTTCAATTTCAAACTTCAAATTTCAAAATTCAAATTTCAAACTTCAAATTTCAAATTTCAAATTTCAAATTCAACTTTCAAATTTCAAATTTCAAATTTCAAATTCAACTTTCAAATTTCAAACTTCAATTTTCAATTTTCAATTTTGAAATTACAAATTTGAGAAGTTCAAATTTGTCTTTTAAAGTAATTTAAACTTGAAATTTTGATTTTGAAGAAAAGGCCCCAAAAAAGGACGTTATGTGCAATACTTTGAATTTTCCTTTTTTTTTTTTTTTTAATAATCTAGGTGTTAGTTGATGTATTAAAGTTCCATTTTTTAACATTTGTTCCTTATTATAAAATTTTGTAATAGCTAGTTCTCTTTTTATTATGTTCAACTATTTTCAAACAAATTAGTATATATGTAAATATGTATGAATATATTAAAATTAAAATGCAAGACAATAGTTATATAAAAAAGACTTAATAAAGCCTTCAAATTTATTCAATAAAATCTAATTGCAACTTAGAACTTAGAAGTTACAATTTACAAATATTAGTGGAGTAACTAATCTACGCAGCCACCTTCTAGGAAGGGTTCTGTTTCAATAAGTTCTCATATGTAAAACTAATATTTGTTACAAATATTAGATGAGTAACTAATTTACGCAGCCACCTTCTAGGAAGGGTTCTGTTTCAATTAGTTCTCTGATGTAATCTAATATTTGTATTTTCCTTTAAAATTCAATTCTAATTGTTGCATCATATCGACGGTAACATCCTCCGGTGTTGGCAAACTTGCTAGAAACTCTTGTGACTCTAATTCATCATCACTAGATCCAAGTACCGCATTAATCCAAGCTTCTTGTTTGGAACTTAACTTTGGCAAATTATCATTTCTCCTTTCGGCGTTGACCCAATCTCTAAATAAAACTGATATTTCCAAACTGTCTTCCGCCAATGAATGTCTATGATCGCCAAGTTGAAACCTTGCCGCACTAAAAGCAGCCTCTGATGCAACTGATGAAGCTTGAATAGCTAGAACATTACGAACCATTTTGCTTAAAATTGGAAATGCAACGCTCCGCCTCCTCCACCATGCTAATAAATCTTCATTGCCATCTTCGTCTTTCACTGTTTCTAAAGATTGATTAAGATATTCTTCAAAATCATCACGGTTAGTAGAATTAAGACCAAGAAAATCTCGCATATAACTTGAAATTCGAGCTTTACTCTGAGGATTAGAAGTTTGACCAACTTCTTGAATATTTCCTGTAGTTCTATATTTTTCATACAAAACTTTTGCTTCTACTTTTATGCTACACTTACACATTTGACTAGTTGGATTTATTTCCGGTGAAATTTCTAAGGTATTATAAAAAGTGTCAACAAGTCCCTGCACACCTTGTAATTTATAGTCAGGATGAAGTAAAGTAGCAGTTAAAAAAATTTGAGGAATAGGAAAAAAATATTTTTTAAATTTTTCAATCATACCTTCAATTGCAACTCTAAATTTTTCAATATTTTTGTATTTAGAAAATTGAATTGAAATAACACAAATATTTATTAATACTGATGAAATAGTAGGATAATAAATTCCAGAAAACATGGTTGTTGCATCATAAAAAAGTCTTAAAAATTCTAATAGTTCATTACTTTCTTCCCAATCTTCTTCACAAATTCTGTCTAATGGGTCAGCATTATGAGCATTAAACACCATTTGTATGGGTCCTCTATATTCGTAAGCAACTGAAAGCATTTCGTAAAAAGAATTCCACCTTGTTTTAATATGTCTTGAAATTTTTCTTGGTGGCAAATCACATAGTACACAACGCTCATTAAATTCCCTAATTCTAGCAACTCTATTAGCATAAAAAATCCAGGCAACAGCATATTCAATTTTCATACAACCACATTCAAATAATGAAATACCATCTTGTACAACTAAATTTAATACATGTGCAACACATCTAACATGAAAAGAATTATCATCAATTGGACATAATCTAGTTTTTAACATACTAGCAGCGTTTACATTATTAGATGCATTATCTAATGCGACAGACATTACTTTATCTATAAGCATGTAATAATCTATAACACTCAAAATATTTGAAGCTAAATATGCACCAGTTTTTTTCTCTACACATTCTTTATAACTTAAGATTCTTTTTTGCAAATTCCAGTTATGATCAATCCAATGTGCTGTAACAGTTAAATAATCACGACCATTAACACTACGACCCATGTCCGAAGTTATAGACACTTTACAATCTAATATGCTAAACACACAACGAAGATATTGACAATGTTTACCTTGATATACAAAAACATCAGATTTAACAGTATTTCTTGAAAAACCTCTATAATTAGGATTATAAGTTTGTTGAATATATTCAATAAAACCGGGATGTGAAGGAAAACTATAAGGTAAACCACAAACAGAAACCATTTTAGCTAAATTTTCACGATCTCTTTCCTTATTATATTTACGTTGTGTTAGTGGACCACCGGGGTTAGAAGGATCTAATGTTCCTTGAACCATGTTAGAAGCCCCTACCGATTCATTAACATTAATATCAAAATCATTAACTGAAATTCCTTTTTTTCTATCGGCTAATGATTTAGCTTCTTTATATTGAATCGGCACACAAGATAACAAATGTCTATTTAAGCCCCTCGTCCCACCTTGACCTCCACCTTGTTTATGTTTAAAAGGTTGCTTACATTTATTACAAATAGCAATAGAATTTTCCTTATCTAAAGTCATAAATTGCCACACAACAGAAGTTTTAGGGCGTTGATACTTCACCTTCTCCCTTGTAGGAGGTATAAGGGGTGGGCGTCCAGAATTTTGCTCCGTTGAATTTGTAGTTTCATTTGGAACATTTGTCACCGGACTAGTAGGTGTATCTTCTAATTCATCTTCTCCCGAACCAACTTCTACTTCTTCACCTAAATTTTCATCAAGATAAGGATTACTATCACCATAAATTTGTTGTAAAAGTTCATGATCGAGTTGAGCATTTGAATCAATATCATAAGAAGTATCATCAACATAAGTAGAATCATTTGTATTAAATCTAACTCTAGAAGTACCACCACATTTACTCTTATTTTTTTCCTTACTACTTTTTTTAGTAAAATTAAATAATCTACTAATGCCACTTGGTTCCTTCTCTTTTCCTTTACCGGTATCTTTTTTGTTAGAACTCATATTTAATTATATGTAAAGTATAATATAAAAATAATAATAACACAAAAATTAATGACGAAAAATAAAATATAAATATTATGAAACGAATGTATCAAACATCTACGTTAATAGCAGACGTTATAACCGATTCTTGAAGCTTGTAACTTGTAACTTGTAACTTGTAACTTGTAACTTGTAATTTGGAACTCCAATATTTGATAGCAAATATAATATGAAAACTTAGATATATATATTATGATATATAATATGAAAACTTAGAATTGAAATATGTGTATTATGATATAATATGAGACTTAAATGAAATAAAATATTGAGATTTGAGACTTAAGATTGAGAGTTGAGACTTGAAAGAATATAAAAAATAGATGAGAGAATATATAATTTTGTAAGAAATAATAAGGGATAGAGGGGTATTTATAATATTAAAAGTGGGTTAAAGTGTATTTATAATAACTTGAGGGTTTAAAGTAAATTATTAAAAGTAGGGGTGGTAGGGGGTGTTGGTTGGGGGAAAAAACTGCCAAAATATTCGTTGGGGGGGCCCACTAGCCGTTGCCCAACGGATAGAATTTTAAAAAAATAAATAAATAAAAAAATTGTTAGGGGATCCCGCGAACCGGCCGGTTCATCCGGGCCGGGTCGACCGGGACCAACGGGTGAACCGGACCAGTACCGGTCCCCTATCCCGAAAGCCCCCATCCCGCCATCTTCAAACGGGACCGGGTCCGGCGGGCCGGTTCTCGGACCGGTCGCGGGCCGGGGCGGGCCGACCCGGTCCCCCTGCCACCCCTATCACTTATGAACACAAAATGTTGGGCATGGGCCAATGCCCATCTAGTATATATATATATATATATATATTATATATGAAACCTACTGACCAATTTTTTTTTATATAAAGTTTATAACAACTCAACAAATGAGAAACAAACATATATATATAAAACAGTTGAAGTGAAAAAGTAGCCCCCTATCCCTGCCCTATTTAAATTTTTAAAATTTTAGCTTTGACCCGCCCTGCTTTGCCCTATTTAAGCTTTGCCCTTCACTACCGTGTTATGCCTTTTCCCTGCCCCACCCCGCCCCAATTGCCATCCCTACAACCAGCTTCAAAACATCAATAAAATAATCATAATTACAAATTAAAAAATTATTGCTTTCTCATAAGCATTTCAAAGTATATATAAAATGGATTAAATATGAAAATGTGCTCGTTTTGATGATGAGTTTGAGCCAAGAGATACAGAGAGTAAAAATCCAAAAATAAAATAACAAAATAAAAGACATTAATGAATGTCGGAGCTTCCCCATGCCTATCTCAACCATAAAAAAAGAATTTAAAACGCATCAATTTCATTATGGCTTAACCATAGTGCAGAGTGTTGGTTTTGCTTTAGTTGAGGTTATAATAGCTTTGCAAAATAGCTGAAACATTGCTAATTTTTTGAATATTGAATCCAAAAGGATGGATGATGGACCTTGTCTGAGATAATATATGAATTAACTCTGAACCTCAATATTATATACTGCTTATAGAATGGTCATTGATACTGCAGCAGATCGGAGCTTCAAACCATCCTCGGCCCATTTGCTTTCGGGGGCCGTGGCGCCAGCAATGACGGCCTGCAAAAGCAAATTTCCAGTAAAACAATACTAGTGGAGACTTCAAATTATTATTATACAACATAACCATCTAAGATGGGAAATTGATGAATACATAATATAGGGTACAACAATTTAACATAGTAGAAAATTCTTGAAAAATAAGTAGTACCTTTCCACTGTTAACAGCAGCCACTAATGCAACGTGTTGCTCATCTCTCACAAATTCATAAAAATAGTATGTCCTGAAAAATAAAATTACATTAATGCTATATACTGAATGTTTAATGTTAATTAAAGGGGAATATATATATATATATATATATATATATATATATTGTCAAAATGAGATACCATTATAAAGTAGTGATCCTAAAAAAGTATAAACATGAACATACCTGAAACCTTCATCTTCTTTAATTTTTATTGAGCGGACAGAATATAATGTTGAGCCAGCTGTCATACTGATAATCAGTAATTAAGAAATATAATTCATTAAAGATCAATCTTGCAAAACAAATGAATGTGCAAGGGCCATTTGCAATTATACCTGGAACAAATATTTTTGCTGCCTCCTTAAGTGAACCTAAATCCGTAATATCTTTGGCCTGTTAAAAGTTATTATTAATACAACAAGGCACAATCACAATGTTGCTATGTACTCATACAAAATAAAAGCATATCACGTTAAGAGAATAGGAGTTCAAGAAAGGTAAGCTTTTGAAACTTGTAGTAAAAAATGAGTGATACTGACTATATATCATTTCATTAAAGATAAATGGAAATTTAAACTTAAATTGTTTCTAAATATATAGAAATATGTCTCTTTTTTTTCGGACGGACTAAAAAGAAAAGTGAGTCATATAAACTCTGTATCAAAATTGCCTTAGACAAACCTCTAAGAAAGTGATCTTCAGCTGATTAGATGGACGAATTATGACACTTAAAACTTCGGATCTGTATATCACAAAATAAACAATAATAAGAAGTATTAATTAAATTATATAATTGAAGAAAGATCGTTAAAGAGAGCAATAGTATTCCATCACTCATTAGATAATGCATTTTTTTTCTTCATAACCAAGACTTCTAGGAGGAAATAATAATGAATAATGCACTAAACAAAAAAATAATTAAAATCACAAGGAAAATTCTTTGATAGGCAAAATAACACTGAGATAGATATTATTTTGTATTATATCAAATTATATAATTATGATAAGGATTTAAAAGCAAGTAGATAAGACATTACAACTCATTTTAGATAGATATTATTTTGTACTACGCAGAATTTTTTTGTTATGTACGTTGTTAATTTAGAGCATATATAAATACTATTTAATATCCCAGCTGTTGAGGGAATAATATAGTAAAACATTTTAAAAATTATTTTCTTTTTCTCTTTCCTACAAAGTTTTTACAGTTAAGATAGCATAATGTTTCTCTAAACAATTAATTTTCTATTATTGTTCTAGATAATTTTTTTCTCTTAATATTTTATCGAATTAGCGTTCGGACATAAACTCTATGCTATATTATTTTCAGAAAGGAAAAAATCCTTCTTACGTTGGAAGCGTATTCATCAAATTTTTGCAACACGTTATTACATTTGAGGTAATCTTATGAAATATTTATATGATAATTATATAATCATCAGATTTGAGAGTGAGGAAAAAATAAATCTTTTTTAATAAGTAGGGGAGGAAGAAACCTGTCACTTTAATTGTAATTTGCATTTGATAACTTATCAGTATCGAAAATAAAATAATGATATCATCCTCTTCTCCAACATGAGCAGCCCAATCTGATAATTTCATGTATTTGTATTATGCAATTTTCATTACAAGTCATGAATTGTTGATTTATATTTTTTGCAACAAAATATTTTATTTGTGAAAATATTTAAGAATCTTCTCATAGAATTAATTAGCAATATACAAAAGGTGCTCCTTAAACAGTAGTCTTAGGTTATGTATAATATGGTATGTAATTAATTCCAATAATAAGGTAAGTAAATATTTATAATCAAATTTTGAATATCAAAGATATCCAAGGAATATTCAATATGATTTTTCTTGCTTCATGAATACAATGCATTTAGAATTGTCTGTTTCAAAGTAACAAAATATGTGGAATAAAAATGTCCTTAGTTGACAATTTGGTCCATAAATGCCTTTAAAGTTAATAGTTTAGTAAAAAAAAATGCTTTTATTATTGTATTATTTAATGGGTTAAAATGTATTTTTCCAAATAAATAAATTATTTCTTCTCATTTTGAACGCATTCTATTCTTAATGATGATTTTTTTAATTAGGAAATGTTTCTCCTACTTCAATTCAAAAAATATTCGAAAATGAATTATTATTTTTTTTATAAGAAATTATATATTTATATGAAATGAAAGTTAATGACATGATTATTATTAGGGCATATAATAATTGCTAGAGGGCATTCTGATAAAAATATTACTTTTAAAAAACCATACTCTTATTTTTTCTTTTAAAATCTCTTTAACTAATAAATAAGTAAGAAATAGTCTTTTTTTCTTCTTAATCTCATTTTAATAATTAAAATAGAATAACTCCATATACCTTTTTAACTGATAATATAGGTCACATATCTAAGATCATAATAATCCGTCATTAATTTTCATTTTGATAACGATAATTTTTTTAATAAAATAGAAAATATTTTTATTTCTTATATTTTCCGAATTGAAGTATGAGAAACAATTTCTAATTAAAAAAAATCTTCATTAGGAAAATAATGTTTTTTAAAAAAAATAATACATTTGTTTGGAAAAGGATATGTTTGACCCATAAAGTAACAATAATGACATGTTTGGACCAAACTATTGGCGACAAATATATTTTTGGATCAAACTATCAATTGAGGATATTTTTAATCATTTTACATAGTTTAAGGACATTTTTGATCCATTAAGTAACAACAGTGATGTTTTTGGATCAAATCATTAATGACAGATATTTTTGGACCAAGCTATCAAGTGAGGATATTTTTGTTCATTTTGCATAGTTTATAGACATATTTTACGTTTTTCCATAATGTGGAAAAATAATTTAGTCCAAGCATAAAAGTTGAGAAAAAAATGATTAAGAGGAGAAAAAGAAAGAGGAACTAGAATTGAACATTGAATTGGAATATGTACCCATCAGAAGAAGCAAAACGCGCTGCAAATTTTTTGGGCTTAGCCTTATCTCCATATAGTGATATGCCAGCATTATAATCCTGCAAAAATCATGTTAATCAACCTTTTTGAGTTTAAACATAACATATTTTCTCATTAAACAACAAATCAGTCCAATATTGAATATAGTTACAAGCTTTTGATTGATTGGGAATTCTTCATTCTACTGTGCACACAAGTTTTTCCAGTTATATGTAAGTTTACATGCTTAATAAAATTAATAATTGAAGACCCAAGTGAAACATAATCCAAATAAGCTAACAACAAAAAGAATGTCCTGTATCACATACTTTCAAAGGTTTTACTGTACACCATCAAGTCATTTACACCTTGCTTGGATGGTTGTTACATGTTCCATAGTCTAAATACAATATTTGTTTTGATTGTTATTTAAACTTTATTATATCGTATCGTTTAAATTCATTGTTAGATAACGGCGAAAATTTCTATTGTACCTTAATATTATTTTTTTCTCATTTTTGTCTTTACTAAAGTACTACTCCCTCTGTTTAAAAAAGAATGACATTCTTTCCTTTTTAGTCTGTTTAAAAAATAATAACCTTTTTTTTTTTTGATAACATTTTAATTTCAGCTTTCCACGTGACATGTTTAAGGCCACAAGATTAAAGGATAATTTTGTACATTTGACGTAACTTTAATATAGGACCACAATATTTAAAAGTCTTCTTTATTTTCTTAAACTCCGTGTCAAGTCAAACCAGACCACTCTTTTTGAAACGGATGGAGTATTTACTTTCTCTGTCTCAATTTATGTGACACATTACAAATTTCGAGATTCAAACAAGTTTATCTTTGACCGTAACTTTTTCATATATCTCTTAAATATTTTGAATTGTCAATTATTGTGACTTATGGTAATTTTTAAGTAGTTTACAAATATATAATTTCATTTAAAAAATTTGAAGACTCCATGAACAAATTTCCGATCAAACTCAAACTGTTTGACTCTCGAAAAACAAAATGTATCACATAAATTGAAACAAAGAGAGTAATAATTATATTTTATCATTTATATTATCTTTTCATAGTCGCTCTAGCTCGTACCCTACTTGTTTGATAGGTTATTCATTCAAATTATTGATGTCTGACATTATGTAACGACGAAGAACAATTATACAATCTAACCAAACGTAGTATTCATTAAGACAATAAAATACATTATGAAATAATACGTAACAAATAATAAACAGAGTGTATAGAAACCAACCAAGGATCATTGTTTTATATTAGGCATGAATTGATAACAAGGTGAATTCAGAGGCAGAGCCAAGATTAAGAAATTAGGAGTTCTAAATTTCCTTTAAAAAAAAAGAAAAGAGCGGGGTTCAAAGCTTTAACTCCAGCGTAAAAAACATTTCCACGATCTCTCTTATCACTGAACCGTCAATCAATTTCAATTTGATTAGGAGTTTACAAGTTAATATATATATATATATATAATTTTTTAATATAAATACACTATCTACAAAAAAGCTATTGAATTTGTCGGAACTCACGAACCTCGACCTAGATTAAATACGTACTACATATTACACAGTGATAGTGTAAAAATCCTTATCTGGTAAAAGGGGCAAAAAAGGGAAAGCAGCATACCTCAGGCTCGGTGAGGTCCTGAAATTCCGGTGGAACACGAATAGAAAAGCCGTCGCCATAGAATTGGAACCAAGACTTAGTATTGGCAATACCTGAAAGAAAAGTATTCGAATTGGTTTGGGCGTCGGATTTTGGAATTAATTGAGAGAGGAATAAAGTAGAACCACTGAGGAACACTCGTCTTCTCGAAACAGAGTTAGGTTGTGCACACATTGAATTGGGTTTTTGCAAAGGTTTTGGTGGGTGGATAGACACGGACAGGGAGAGGAGCGTGGACATGGCCATGGCCATCACCATGAGAGGGTGAAGTTGGGGATGCTATGCTATTACATGGTTGCTAATGGTTTAGAGATAATGTGGGGACACCTAACACCCTTTCCTTATTATTACTATAATATATACTAGTACAATAGATCTATCTTATTTTTTTTGTTTCAATGACACACACAATCAATTGATTTTTCTATTAATTATTGTAATTTTTAATATTTTTATGTAATTTTTGAAAATATATGTTACTCTCTTTGTGTTAATTTATGTGGTATTGATAAATTTTTTATGTCTTATCAATTTTGAAATTGTTAATTATTATGCCTTAAATACTTTTATGTCATTTTGAAATGAGAAAAGACATAAAGTCACTATGAAATTGTCCCAAATTTTTAAAAATATATCTTAACTTTGTGGGTGTTTTATTACTCCATTGAACAACTTCAAAATAGTATGTATACCCCATTTTCACCCAATAGTCACTTGCATGTGTTAAAAGTAACTTTTAATTATTTTCATTTGATTTCTTTGCTTTTCTTTTTCTCTTTCTTCTCCACCTCAACTTTTGTTCCATTCCCTTCACCGTTGCCGCAAAAGTCGTCAATCCTGTTGTGGCGGATTGAGGCATTTGGACCCTCTAAACCTATCTCCTAGTTATTATTTATTGATTTATACAAAAGATTTGCCTTCTTGGAAAATTTTGTTTCATGTTCTTCGTTGGTGTCACTTGCAATGGACTTTTGCCAACTTCTTTACACTTTGTGTCCTATAGCAGGCAACATTCACTTCTGCCTACTTGCTTCCATCAATTAATTTATTTATGAAAATAAATATCGTCAAATAATTAAAATTTAAATACTCAAAATATCACCAAGTCAAAATTTGAAATTTAAATTACAACCTTCTCCAACTCCTTACTCCCAAATCGGGTTTCCCATAGTTTTACTACTCTCAAATCCCAATCTTGATTTGTAGGAGGAAAAAAAAATCACTGAACTAATTTGTTTTTTTTTTTTATAAAGAAGAATAAGAATGAACACTAACATTAGTTTAAAAAAAAAACAATGACTAGAAAGGAAAAAATAAAAATAAAAAAATGAAGGAAGACATGGATGCCCCAAGAAATATGGGTAAGCTATTGATGGTAGGGAAGATGAGACAAAAAATTTGAAAAAATAAAAAATATTCCTAATAAAGTAAAAATAAATAAATAAATACATGAATTTTTATATTTGTTTCAAAATAAGTCAAATTGGGAGTGTCACATGGTAGTTTTTATGTTGGTCTGAAGCTGTATCAAAAATCTTCACATGCTCATATTTTGTGACAACACGAGTATTGTTAAAATTAGTCAAAATGATATTTTTATTGTGGATTTAGATGGTTTCGTGGGGGTAATAGGACACCCGCAAATTTAAGGTGTTTTTTTTAAAAATTTAGGACAACTTCAATAGTGACTTTATGTTTATTTTTTATTTTTAAATTGGGGGTAGGGGAAGAGAAAACATGAGGGGATTACAATGTAGGGAATCAATCCCTCATCAACAAGGTGACAGTTCAAGTAGCCAACTAACTAAACTACTAAGATTTTCCTTTTAAAGTGTTAATTATTTTAATTTATAGTACTTTTTACACAAATTTTAAATAATATATGTTACTCTCTTTATCTCAATTTATGTTGCACTAATAAAATTTCGAGAAGTGTTTAATATTTTATATGTCCTTTAAATTTTTAAGTTGATAACTATTATGACTTACAATAATTTTTACATCATTTAAATAATATTACATAAATTGGGATGAGAAAGTAACCTATATTATTTGAACATGATGTAATAAGTATTGTAAAATACAATAATTAACAATTTAGAAATTTAAAAGTCAACTCTTGAAATTCTATTAGTGCCACAAAAATTGAAACAATAAAAGTAACATATATTATTTAAAAGTTACATAAACAATATCATGGCAAAAGAGGTCTAGGTAGGCGACGAAAAGGGATCTGGCTCCCCTCCATTATCCCTTCCCTCCATTTCGTCAAGTGCACCCCTAGATAAGCGACACGTGTCTTATTTAAGTTTAAAGATCAAAATTATATTATATTAACAATTATCATAACCATAGACCATAGTTAAGTCAACTAATTTTAGAAACTACTCTCTAAATTTGGTAAAAAATACAATATATTTCATACAAAATTTAATATTTATTAATAGCATTAATTTCATCTTATATTTTTATATTTAAATCTTAAAATTGTTGAACATGAAACGTTTATAATTAATGTGATAAATAATAATCTTCAAAAACATTTGCATTTAAAATAATGTTTTCTTTTATTTCACAAAAAAATAAATATATAAAAGAATATTTTAAGAAAACGTAGATTTTTTCCCTTCAAACGTACAATAACCACATTTTCTCCTTGGAATAATTTTGATATCGTTTAATTCTAAAAACCTTTTGTCTTTTTATTTTTTATTTTGTTTCGTGTCTTTTATTTTATGGTTTTTTTTTCAACATTGATAATTCTTCATTTTTTTTTGTTTCTCCACGTAGTATAATATTTCAAGAATAAAGTTTAAAAAATTATTTAGTTGATTCTCACCTTAAATATCATAAACTTTAATATTTAAATATAAAAATATAAGATGAAATTAATGATATTAATAAATATTAAATTTTGCATGGAATATATTGTATTTTTTATCAAATTTAGAGAGTAGTTTTCTAAAATTAGTTGACTTAACTATGGTTATGATCGTTGTTAATATAATATAATTTTGACCTTTAAACTTTAAATAAGACATGTGTCACTTATCTAGGGGTGCACTTGACGAAATGGAGGGAAGAGGTAATGGAGAGGTGCGGCATGTTCCCCCTCCGTGGGGAAAGGTGAGACACTAGTTTCGAGTTGAGTCCCTCAATCACTGCGACTGAAATAAGGGGAACTTCCACATATGAGGAATCACTTATACTGTTATGCACAATCGAGGAAATGGGATGAGTACTAAGAAATCTCTGTTACACGTTAGTTATATTGGGTAAGGGGTGTTATGGAATCTAGGTCCAAAGGCTATGGAAACATGAAGGAATATAATGAAATAAAAAGTTTTGTCGGGGTCGAGTCTGATACATCAACCGTCTACTCAATATCCTTGTACGAGTCCACAATGACTACACGAGATGGAATTTCACATATGAGTACAATGCATTGAATCTGGTGTCCGTAGACTATGAATCAAATCTAGATAAAATAAAATAAAATTTACATAACAATTGATGAAGTTTAGAACTTCTATGAACCAATAATTCTTTTGTAAGTCTAGCGTCTTATTCTATCACATTATACCCGCACAATTTTTGTCATTATTGCGGTTTTACGCTAAGAGGCCATGCGCGTGTCCTGATATTCATAAGTGCTCTAAAAATCTGTCATAATTACATCGAAGCGACACTACTTCACACTCATATAAGTCCAATCATCAAGTGTATTCTGCAGAGCAATACACCACCTATAAATGATATACTTTGGATTATAGTGCTTACTTGATCAACTAAGGACTTGTTATTACCCATGTGAACCTAATTCATGGGATCTCCATAGGTTGGGTTACCATCATTGTTGAATCTTCTCAAATGACAAAAATCTTACTCCTCTCGATGTTTCATATAGTTAGTGAATTGATCAGATTCACCCTACACATTATTTATTTACTTAAATAATTCATCTAACTACAATATTCTTATCACATTGTGTCTCAAATTGTCAATGAAAACATTATTTTTCAAAACAACTGTTATTGCTTGGCAACCACATATGGATTTTAAAATCCATTTACTATCATTGTACCCATCTAGTACACCAAAAATATTCAATTTACTGGGCATTATAACTGTGGTACCTCTCATATATCATCAATGACTTATTTCCAAAACAATGCATCAAGAAGCAATATAATATTCAACAAGGACATGAGGAATAAGATCACTTTAAAAAGAACACTTCAGAATATTTTTTTTCCACTTTGCTTCTCCCCCTATGGTCGTAATACTCGGCTTGTCGCTACTTTGATTCAAAAGGTAACCGACGGTTCCCGACTTTCTCCACTTTCTGCAACCGTAACCACTTGTCATTCTGATTACTTCATCCATAAACCTTTTTTATTTATTTTAAAATAGCGATACGCTCTAAAAAGTAAAGGAGAAGCTTCCATTCTAGAGGCGGTAGCTTCCCGCCTCTCTCGGGGTGAGAAGTTCCCTTCCCTTTTCTAAAATGCCTGAGGGGTCTGCTCAACAAACGTACAAAGTGGACCGCAGTTTGGCTGACCCATCTCTTCTCGAGAAATAAGTGGGCTATTTCTTTGCAAAACTGTGCTCAATTTCATATGTGGCAATTCCGCCAAGATCTCTTGGTAGGAGTTACAATTAAACTTCCTATTCGCTATACCGTTAGTGACGCTTATCACGCTTTCAATCGGTTAAATGCATTCTCTTACCCGTTGAACTTATTACTTTCCGCTTTTCAGTCTGAAATTCAGATTGTGACCTACCGCTCGGAGCAATCAAGCTCAGAGAGCACTACTGGGTGGTGGCTTATTGTAGTCCATCTCCCCCGGTCATACTTTAGTATCACATCGTAGACTCCCACCCCAACGCTATCTTCCTTATCAGTGAACCGGAACATAGTGCATAGGTACTCTTCGATGCAGCGGGGACGAGACGACGTGACATACTACAATCACGTACAGAAGTGCTGTCCTTCGTCTCGACACCTTACTAGTAAAGGCTCCCATTGGGAGAAGCAAAAATTGTTGAGTGAGCGATCCAGCCTCTAGCCCTTTAATGATGGATTTGTCTTCAAAAAAGCCCCGACCTCGGTAGAAAACGAACGGCGGCGTGAAGTTGATGAGCAGGGAAGATGTTTTTTTTCTAGTTGGCTAAGCGACCCCGTCTTCCATAGCCAGGGATTAGTCATTTAAGGATCAGTTGATGTGCTGGGATGAAAGAAAGTTCTTGGAGGCTGCAAAGTATGCTAAGGATCATAATATCTTTGTGAACCTGAAACATGAAATT